GGGGGGCAGGCTGGAGCCAGGCAGGGCAGGGAGAGTGGGCAGGGCCAGCGGGGGTCCCACCCCATAATCCCTTCACCCCTCCTCCAGCCCCCTGACCCCTTACTCACCGCCTCTGGAGCCCTGGTGCTGAAGCACGCTGCTTCAGCACCAGGGCGAGGGGCCAACCACGGAGACGCTCTGGCAGCCAGAGTGTCTCCCTGGAGGACCCAGCCTCCGGTTTCCTCAGGGCATGGCTCCACTTCTTTAAACTTTGGTTTTTTTAGACCCCTGGATATCTTTGTACCTCAGACCAAAATTCCAAGAGGTATTGATATAGGGCTAACAGTTAATCTTATAATGGTCCTATGGTCCTAGGCAAGCACATTTAGACAAGAGAGTTTGGTAACACCCAGAAAAAAATAGTGTGTCCAGGCAGTTTGGTAAGTAAGTAATGGATTAATTAGTAGAGAACTTACTTAGATGATACTTATTTAGCTAATAAAGATTTTAGATAAATTATTTAAATTGAACTTATTCAGATAATATTCAGCAGGTGAGGAGAGTTGCTCAGAGCTGCCGTCTGAGAGTTATGTCATTCATTCACTTGTTCATTCTGACTGATCAGCATTGCTTTACATGAACCTCCGCGTTCCAGAGCCAGTTCCAACTACCTCATGCCCCAGAGCCTTCAAAATACACCTGACAAAGGTCACTGGAGTTTATTAAAAAAAAAAAGTCTCTTGCCAAAGAAAGAGCAAGTGCTGGAGACCACTCAGACCAAGGGAAGCTTTACAGCAGTCGTTCTTAACCTTTTTAGTCTCGAGATACCCCTTGTTAGATTCAAGGCACCCTTCAGAAAATTCCAGCTCTTAGTTTTCACTCATTTTTTGTCTGTGCAAAAATAAAAGAGTATTTTTTTCTGTTGTAACGAACTCAGAAAGACCACAATAGGTCACAACGTTTTAACACTATGATTTCCTATTTAAAATCTTTGGGTTTATCTTGTGAATCAAATTTGCACACCTCACGGTTCTACCATTGTGACACCCTGTGGCATCTTTGAAAGGATCTCAGGCACCCCAGGGTGCCGCTGCACCTGAATGAGAATCACGGTTTTTGAGCATAGAGGCACGGCATGGTGAAACCCAACCACAGCAGTTTAGTGAGTGTCAGGAAGAGAATTTTATTAGGCTATGACAAGTTTATGCCAGTTCCATCAATTTAATAATATGTACCATCAAAACCCTGTTCTGCCAGAATGCTGCCACCTACACTAGGGCTTTCTGGGTATAGAAACACTGCTAACAAGAATTGCTCCCACTCACCAACTGTTATCCTACTGGGAAATGCTTCTAGTGTAGGTAAGACCTGATGCAAATGCTTAACTTTCCACACACGTGTTGTCCCATGAGATTACTTACATAAGTGTTTGCAAGTGTATTACTTTAATATTTGTTTCTCTGAATACAAAGAAGTATTAGCCTGTATACTTTGTCTCACATAACAGTCTTTTGTCCTAAATGCCACATTTTTTGTCAGAATGGGTATAATTAACGATTATTTTGTTAATAATAATCATAATAATGTTTTATAACATGTTAAAATAATATATTCCTAAAGGCCAAAAATTTAAATTTTATATTTTCTTGAAATAGAACTTTGAAACCACCTCAGTTTCTGTAGAGCGATACTGAAATAGGTTTTCTGACTGTATTAGGGTCAGCTGGACAGCAAAGCAAATAGAATTTGGATCATTAGGAGTCAGCACAGACCTAGTTCATACAGAGTTCCTGATCATAACAGAGAGCAAGTTTGATTTTTAGAGCATAGATCTTGCACTTATCAGGTTGCCATAGACTTCTATCTTTCATGTTTCCTCTGGTTGACTGTATAATCAATGCATGACACATGTTATGCCTTCTTTCAGATCCAACAACTTCTACTTAGCTATGTTGCTGTTTATGTTGTTCCTATGCATGTTACCAACAATTTTTGCTATTGCCAGATACAAGCCATCTTTAAGCTGTGGTCCATTTAGGTAAGTTCAACTGAAATAATAAAAACTTCAGTGATTTAATTTCCTTTGCCTCAATAAATGTGTTGGCTTCTATGCGTATAGTCCTGAATTACCGATCAACAGAGGTTCATAAGTGTATTTATATAATATCTTACTCAGATCAAAATGCTCCCATTCCACAATGAACTATATTACTATAATGGAGTCTCTGAATCCAGTCTGCTCCTCTGTTTAACCACTGCAGAAATATTGATGTTACCTGTGTAATTCAGTTGTCATATGGTTGCATGATGTAACGTAACATAGTGCTGTATATTACAAGTCAAAGTATCTGTGAACATCAAAAACAAGGAGTCTCAAGGAAGGCACCTATAAATGGGTGGTAAGTAGTGAATATTCAGGTCACATTCTAAGAATAAAAACCCGGACACCTTCACCCGAGTAATTTCTATCATTGAGTTCAATAGGGGCTGTATTTGTCCTGTATAGTCTTCCATTAATCTTGTTGTTTATTAAATGTAATGTTGATTTCAAATGATACACGCTGAGAATTTGCTTAGAGTTCAATTTAACTTTTTTCTCCCTTAGTGGACAAGAAAAAATATATGATATTGTGTCTGAAACGATTAAAAGTGATTTCCCTGTATGGTTCAACGCAGTGCTTACTTATGTCAGCAGTCCTGTAGTTGTTCTCCCTGCATTATTACTTCTGTTGTAAGTACTTTACTGTCTATAGTGATGATGCTTATTAGTGCTCTGCCCACCCATGATTAGTCAAATTTTAAGTGTGGTGAGAAAATATTTTGGGACAGTTGTTTTATACATTATATCTGAGAAATCTAATTGCATGTGTGGAGTAAGAATCTGGTGGGAATAGGAGCATGTTGAAAGCATTCTATTAAATTTTAAAAGCAACACCTCCTCCTTCAGTTGGTTTAACTGGAATAGTATAACTTTAAAAATGAATGGCACAATATGGTCATTTCATCTTCAGTCTCACAGGAGTCAGTCTTTAATTTAAGGAGTAAAATCTGGCATGAGTAATCTACCAGATACCAACAGGGATAGTTAAGTGCCTGGGACAAAACTAATATAACTAAAAATTATTTGCCAGCCGCCTGGAAGCTGGGTTTGCTTTCCTGGGTTGTAATAGCAAACTTACTACACAGTGTCAAATTTTGGCCTTCCAGGAGCTTTCAAGCCTCCTTTTTCTCCCTCAGGAACTACTCAGCAACCAGACTTCCCTTCCTGGTCTGTCAGTAGTTCAGTATGTGATTGCAAACAGAATTCAACCCGTTTCACAAAGCTACCTAATCATCCTGATTACTGACATGATAAATCAATTACCAAGGCTTGTGCCCAAGTGTTAATTTAATATAGTTTTCTACAGACTCTCCACTGGATGTCTTTTCCACCCCATTTCCTAAGTAAATTATCGTATCTTCTCTTAGCTTTGAATTCTTTGGATACAGTAGTAAATAGGATTCTATGTTGCATAAGTCAGTAAAGACTTCAGTCCAATATTCAAATCTTTCTACAGGCCTTACTAATCAAAAGGAGCCAAGCAAATATTTATTTGTTGCATTTCTCTCTTAAGGTGTTAATCCTGTAAAATCATACCTAGCTAACCTGAAGCATTTGAGTAACTTAATTGACCAAGTGTTAAACATGAGTTTAAACATAAACATGAAGTATCTGAAGGATCAGGGCCCTACAACTAACATTTGAGATCACTGTTAGTCAATATGGCTAGGTACAGACATTTAAAAAGCCTGAGGTGGAATTGATCTAAATGATCTGTTTTCTGTAAGTGGGGAAGTTTAGATCAGTAGTGAACACAATATACATTCGCTCTTTAGTGGGGGACAAATCTTAAACCAGGTTCCAACATTTTTAAACCACTTTGTGTGTGCTGAACTTCTGTTCTGTTGCAGCTTTATAGACTGGTTTGTGTGTCAAACTTCTGTTCTGTTATGGGAACAGCCCAGTTTCTGATCACTTTTATGTAAAAATGTAATGTCTGTATCTGGCCAATGATATTAAATGTAATTTATTACATATCATACAAACACAGTCCAGCTGTTACTCTTCTGAAACGAATGTAGGTGCATTAGACTAAACATGAGGATTGCAATGTAGCATTGGTGTCTATTACCAGTGTCCTTGGTCTGGAGGCTGGGGTTATAAGGAGTGGAGAGATCAAAGTAACAAAGCATCCTATCTTTACTGTCTAAAGCACATTTAATGTATGAATGTACAGTAGATCCTGTGTGCCTAATTTTCCTATCCTTTGCATTGCTGTGACCCATGGATTTCAATGAACCTCTGATTTTCACTACTAAGAGTGAGAGGCCTAGTAACTACAAAATGGCTTTGAGCAGAGGAAGCTAGGTATAATCCACTAGAGTTCAAAGCGGCACTATTATTACAAGTAATCTGTCAGGAAAGGAAAACAGTTACAGGCCTTTCCCTTGTCATCCACTGGTGATTGGTTTTTGCTACCCTCATCCTTCTCTTGGTAAAGCCAAGGAGCCCTACCATTTTTTTGCTGGATATCTGGGCAGCAACTGTGCTGTTTAGCATGTTAACAACACTGGCCCAACTGAGGCTGGCACTGAGGTTGGCTTCAGGACCCTTTGATCATTGATGAGGAAAGTGACTCAAAAAAGTTCTTGAAAAAACACAACCACAACATTATTTCCCCTAAGGGCACATAGAAAAGAAAGCAGAAGATAAAATAACAAGACAATAACATGCCAGAGTCTTATGTAAGCTTTATCCTTTCCTTGCAATTCATGAGGTAGTTCTACCTATCCCAGGCATCCCTATTCCTTGACTGGAGGAGATTGAAAACCTCTTCAGCATCCCTTAAGGATCTCTCTGACCTTTCCTGCTGCCTGCTTACCCCTTCCTCACTTATACTGGGGTCTTTAAAATGATTGAGTACCTCTTTGATCCTAGCTCCCAGCCTTGGATGGAGCCAAGCATTTCCCAATGAATTGCATCTCCCACTGTTCCCTTGAGGCTCCTTGGCATTCTTTCTGATGATACCCTATCTCGGTCAGTGTTTTGTTTCTATCTAATAATCTCCCTTAGCTTAACTCTGTCCAGAGAGGCAGGATAATACCAAAAAGGTAAACTGAGGTATAGCAAACAGTCACAAAACATACTAAAGTTTTTTGTGCCCTGGCGACTATGTCTCTTTTCAATATGTATTACCCTTCAAGATGTGCATTAGCGCCATAGCATTCTGTGTTGTACTGTCTATGACACATAGCCTTAATATTTTTTAAGTTCAGCTTAACTCCAAGCAGCTCTAATTTACCCACATCCTCAACAAGAATTAAGTTACAGATGTTGAAAGAGAAGACAGAATAATGTCTCAGTTTGCCTGATTTAGCTTCTTTGTGCAATACTGAAAATGCAGAGCCAGATTCTCAGCTGGTGTGAAGCAGAAAAAGCCATCTGCCTTGAGTGTATTAAATACACAGGAGAGAGGGGTTTTCTTCTATACCAAATGAAGGCACAAATGAAAATAGTGTACGTACAATTTACCATCCTGGAAAGTGTTTCATGTCACCTCTCTGCTGTGCAGTGGAACTCCACTGATTTGATTAAGTTGGTTTCACCATCAAAAAACAGCTGAAGATCCCTGCCCCAGTGCAAATAAAAACCTGGAAATTAATTTAAATCTCCTTCCATTTCTATAATCTCTGAGACCTTCTGATGATAAACTTCTAGAAATGTTTCCAGTGTGATTCATGACAATTCACTGTTCCTCTCTTCCAGCATGCTAATTTATTACCTTCAGAGTATTGCAAGGTCATTAAAATTCACCAACAATCAACTGAGACTGCAGATCCAAACTGTAAGTACTGACTGAAAGCATTTATTGTGTTCTAGCTGGTGGTTTTTCAGCAAAGTACTAACTTTGATTAAAATGTTAAAGTTGATTTAGGATAGATATTAAGATGAACTTTCTCACGAGGAGGGTAGGAAAGCAGTGAAACAGGTTACCCAGAGAGGCTGTGGAATCTCCATCCTTGGGGGGGTTTTATGGCCCAGCTATTCAAAGCCTTAGATAGTTGGATATAGCCCTAGTTTGAGCAGAGGGTTGGATTAGATGACATCCTGGGGTCCCTTCCAACCTTAATTTTCTATGAGTCCATGATTTCCATGTTTTACGACATGAAACAAATCCTGTATTCATATTTGATGATTTGTTTGCTTTCTAATGCAGAACAAGCTGCTCGTTATTTATCTTCCTATTTTTATATTTATATACACACACACTTTAGGAGAGAACTGAAGACAAGAAAAAGGTGGTTCAAATGGCAGCAGGTAAGTTGGTGATCTTTGATAAATACAGACATTAAAAAAGGTTTTGATCACTTATATTTAGTCTTTTAGTCATTTTATGTGCAAGAGGCAAAACTGCTTTTTGTTGTATAATTCCAGTTTTAGCATTATATCAACATTAATATTATAGATTTTATGCTGTGAGGACATTCCTATATATTTTATAGGTAACAATAAGTGAGATGTAGATCTTTTGGAAGGCTGTATGTGCTACATTCACAAAAGGACATGGGCAGGATTTAGGCACTTAAGGCATCTTCACACATGCTTTGGGGTGAAGGAGGGGGGCATTGTAAATAGAGTTGCTTTAATTAAAACACCCACAGCATCTCATGTATTCAGCATCCCACGCTTCACAATGGTGGTGGGGGTACTTTAACTGAAGCTCGCTCAACGAGGTTTAGTCAAAGCGCCCTGCCACCATTTTGAAATGTGAGGCAATGAATGCACGTGATGCTGCGGTTGCTGGACCATTCTGATTAAGATGCTCCAGCAGACTCACTCAGTCATGTCTGCTCTGACATGTTCTAATCAGAATGCGGCAGAGCAGGCATTGGGGACATGTATAGGTGCCCTAGGGTTGAAGATTTGAACCTCATAACCCAGTTTAGCTGCCTCTTTAAGTGATTCTTTTAAGCACATAGTTTCCAGTATTAAGATCCTCTGGGTGCCTATAGGTTGGCTTCTAGACATGCCTACATTTGGATAGTACTGAGACTTAGGTGCATAGCCCACAGCTAAGCCCCATCAAAATCTATAAGCTAGGTGTTCCTCCACCTAGCTCATCTGCAAGGCATGAGCTACCAGGTATTCCTAGAGTGTACCTGGACATCAGGCTCTTCAAAGAACATGGTGAAGGTGAGCTGAGGAAATGATGGTGTCGTCTTCTGTGGTTACAATACTGATGCAGGAGACTCAAGTCCAATCCCCTCCCCTGCCTGAGAGGGTTTGAACCTGTATCTCTCATGTCTTACAAATAAATTAGCTAATCATCAAGCTGGAGGGGGGCTTGGGAGGGCCACTTTCATTCCTACTGTTGAAGCTATTCAACATTGTATGGAATAATGAAAGATTGAGTGGTTGAGCAAAAGGGAAAACAAAACTAAGCATAACTCTTTAGTTTAGGGCACTGTTCTAGGAAAGTGGAGACCTGTGTTACAAGCCTTGCTCCAGTAAATGTACAGGAATTTTATATTAAGAAGACTTTTGAGCAAGGATTGGAACCTGAGCCTGCTTAGCGGCGTTGTACCATTTCATAGAATCATAGAAGTCGGGTCAGAAGGGACCTTGTAGATCTTCAAGTCCGACCCCCAGCCTGGGCAGGAGGAAAAACTGGGCTCAAATGACTCCAGCTAGGTAGGCATCAAGCCTCTTCTTAAAGCCCCCCAGGGTGGGTGCCAGCACCACTTCCCTTGGAAGTTGGTTCCAGATCCTAGCCGCCCTGACTGTGAAGTAGTTCTTACGGATGTCTAATCTGAACCTCCTCTTCAACAACTTGTGGCCGTTATTCCTTGTTATGCCAGGGGGCACTAGGGGAAACATGGTTTCCCCTAGCACTGGCAGGCTATAACTGAGCCCCTGTTTTTAAACCAGTTTTAATTGTGAAAGGTTTGATGGCCCTTGTAACAGTCCTTCACTGCGTTTTCTAGCCAGAATCCAGAATCTGGAGGGAAATGACAAAAGACCAGACCAGGAGAGTGATGTCATCAGTCAGGAATCTTCAGTTCGGTCATCAACACCTCGAAAGAACGGCAGTGTCTTGAATTTTGAATCCCCAGTGAACAAAGGCAGCAGAATACAAACCATCTCGCAATCTGTACTACAAGCTGACGTTGCTAGGCCAGCAAATATTACTCCAGCAACTTCGACCCCTTTAACTCCAACTCCCACTGTTCCCAGTATACAGAAACCCAGAGCTGAGCAGGTTGCAAATCGGTAAGGCAGTCTCTTTTAATTCTGAAATAAAATAATTTAGTGAAGCAAAATAGATGCATTGGTAACTAACTGCTGCTAGTAATACATTAGCAGAGTCATTTTTTAAAAGATCCTCTTGTGAGAACTGTTCAGGTTACAGAAAAATGGTAGAGATCACCTTAATTACCTCACTGTCTCAGATAACTACATTTGGATTATAATATGTTTAGGTGGATTCATGAGTTCATGTGCACAGTTAAAGCAAAGAGAGAAAACTTTCCAAATTGTACTCTTATTACTAACAATGTGGATAGGACATCCTTTTCAATATGCCAGATATAATAAAAGCCAGGAATTCTCTGAGGAACATTTATTGATCTCCACATATACAGTTATGTATTTGGGATAGCTTTGTGGTGGTTTCTGGCTCTGATACAGAATATTTCTCTAATATTGGTTATATTGTGAGCCCATTATTCACACTGGACAAGCTGATTATTGAGCCCATTATTCACACTTTTAATAAGAGTATTCTGAGTAAGTGGTTCACGACCTGAATTTAAACTTCTGCCTTATTTTTCTACATCATCTTTTTTAAAAAATGAGCAGGATATTTTCCTATATCACAGGGATATAATGGGGGAAATGTTTTTTGAAATGTTGAAATGCTACCAGGAAGAGTGCCAGATAGGCCCTGATTCCAGTGCAATCAGTTTCTGCTTTAATCATAATATGAGAATTAAGGACTTATGCCAAATTTCCTTTTTTCATTTTTTTTATCCTGCCAGGTATTCAAGTGTTGTACATGGCAGTGCAAGTGATCTCTGTAAAACAAAGCCCTACACTCCTGTGGCTTTCAAAAAGCACGTTGAAGACGTTCACTCTGAGCCTCTCTTTAGAAAAAGCATCCGACAGATAAATCCAGATGCTGTTGGGGCGGGGGCTCCAGTTTTTGTTGGACACAGAGCACACACCACCAGGTATTTTATTGTTAATGAACATGAATCCCGCAAAAAACTTCTCCGTTCCACTTCCCGGCTGCCAAGACATTTCCGAATGGATGAGTCAGGAGACATAATTGAGCTATATCCAAGAAATGTCAGAAGATATGTGGTTCGAACACCACACAGGACATATTCCCCTCACTTCAGTGAAGAGGAGGAAGAAGAGAAGGAATTAAGGAGGGACTTGGTAAACAGATCCCACCGTCCACGTTCACTCTCAGATCTCCGTGCAGCTCCCCGATTTTACATTGGGGAACGTGCTGACAGTCAAATTCTTACTAGCAAGGATCTCTCCAAAGTGCATTACAAGTCCTGGGATGACGGCTTTGAGCTAGAGCTAGAACGGCCCCCACACTCCTACAAAAAGCCACACACAAAAAACGTTGAACTTGATAAGCACTATCCAGAGCATCATGTGAAACCTAAATCCAAGCACAAGCTTGAGCACTCTCTAACCGAGTCAGACTCAATTTCCATTGGCTCTAGCAGTGACCAGCAAAACAGCAGTAATGATCAATACATTCAGGTCATTCACAGTAAAGACAAGTACCCAAAATCTGGGGCAAAGCTTACTAGAAAGAAATCAAAGACTAGTGTTGACCTAAACATGTCTGAACCAAATGAACTGATCTGTTCAAATGTCTAAAATAGTGTGCAACCACTTTTGTTGTGAATGTATGTATTTGCAGATCTTTGGCTGCCATTCGAACCACAGGAGTCTTTTGAAATAAATATGGCACAGAGTCTTCTGAGCAAAACCATACATAATTATTCAAAGGGTAAAGCATTTCTTAGCTTGTTGCTTGGTGTTAATTGTACCCAACTTTAGTATACCATCAGATACAGTACAAAAATCTGTATTTTGCATTATTGCTCATTGCTGTGCTGTAAGATTATATTGTGAAATATAAAAGCATATGAACTAGGGGCACTTTAATTAAACCAATCTAAAAGAGTGTCAGAATAGGTTCGGTTGTGCTTTTTGGCATGTAACATTCCTTGTCACAGGTGAAGATGCTGTAGCTGAACAGAAGGCAGGATAGATATGCACCTTTAAAGAAAATTATATACAGAGAGAGAGAGATGGCACACGAGCTTTCATGACCCCAAGTTCACTTCATCAGGGGCTTATTGTGCTCGCTATATACAGGTTTCCCTTGCTTTGTGCAGGTTCTGTATATGTGAATTCACTCTTATGCGATGACCCTTTTTATGCCAAAAATTCATTATATTCTAGATAAATTCACTCTTACGCGATCGGTATGATGGAAGCCCGCAGTCAGCTGCTTTGTGCAGTGCATTGTGGGAGTGACATGCACCAAAATACAGTCTCCTACGCGGATCTGTTCTCCTCACTTGTTGTCTGCGACACGTGTTTCTGTAGGTGCCATCCCAATTATGGTAGTGCCCTGTGCTTCTGTGTACTCTGCTGTTGGAGAGTACCAAAATTGTCTTGTTAAAGTGTAGAAGTGGGTCTGGGGGTCAGTACAGTCGAGGTCTTGGAATGTATCCCTATTTGTTACATTGTAAAGTGGGTTCCCTTTATGGAAATTCGAGTTGTGTGCCGTTTTCTAGGAACGCATGTACAGCATAAAGCGAGAGAAGCCTGTATTTAGTCTATAAAGTTGCATATCTATGGACCCTTCTGACTCACTTCAGACTAACACAGCTAGTAACTACCGCTCTCTGCTCATAGTTGAATAGCCCAGTCATTATAGGTGACCTATTAGATACTTGGTCCATCTTCCTGCAAGTGCAGGGTTGAGAATGTGTATCACCTGTACATTTTATAGAATTTTGCCCATTTTAGTTTAAAAAACCACTATAGCTCAAAACAGAAATGACGGACTAGATACAGAGATTATGTTCTGGGCCCTGCCTTTTCTATTTGTAGCCTGTCCTGAAAACAGAAGTACTAAACTACTGCAAAATATACGTGCATCGCCTTGTCTTACAGATACATATGTCCGTGACCGGGAGGGATGGAGAAACAGATATATCTATCTCCATCCCTCCCACTCGTGTGTGTACACATGTGCATGCACGTGTGTGTACACATGTGCATGCACAAGTGTTCATGTGTATCCATACCAGGGTATGCACATAGACCCAGATATTACACAGATGGGTGCGCATACACACACCTATATATTTTACTTTAGTACCTGCTTTCAGACCAGAGTGTAAATGGAGGGATGGATATATATGAATGTATGTGTGTGTATGTTATATGTATACATGTAGGTGTGGATAGATGCGTGTGTGTGTGTGTGTGTGTGTGATTCGTTCCATTCACTCCTGTGTCTATCCGTACACCAGCCAGGCACGCACGCACACGCTTGCACACGCGCGCGCGCACGAATCCAAGTGAGGGGGCGGGGCTGACCGCGAACGGCCCCGGATCCGGCGGGGAGTGGGCGGGCCCGGCCGGCGGAACAGGCCCCGGGGCCCAGCTGAGCCCGCCCTGCCCCGCAGTCGCCTGTGGCCGGGCGGCCGCATCAGGCGAGGGGAGGCGCCGGCGTGGGCCCATGGCGCGACTCCCGTGG